CCCCTCTGTGCTATTTTCGCTTCTGTTTGCCTTTGCCCTTGCCTTTTCCGTGAGCCTTTCCTTTGCCCTTTCCTCCACCCTTTGCTTCAAACCTCACGTGCTTGGATGAGCCACTCCTTCCACTCGGTGAACGCGAATACTTTGAAGGGGATCGACTTGATGACTTGAGGATGGAGCGCGGGGTGTCAGAGCTTTTCTTCGGACTTCTGCCACGATCTTTCCTGGGGGCTTTTTTCGGAGTAGGCGCCCGCCTGGAAGAACGAGACGTCTCTGAGACAATTTTGACTTTGTGCTTCTTGCATAGCTCCTCATTGTCTTTAACCAGAAAAGCAAGGGCTGAGTCTTCCTTGATGTTGAATGACCTCTTCTGCTTTGCATCCAGGAGTTCAAACAGCGCTGGAGACAAAACATCCTTTACATCCATCTCCTCCCATTTGCTCTTGGCTTCCAAAAGCGCTTGTTCACGTTTCTGCTGCAGATCTTTGTCTTTGGCCATGCGTGTCTGGATCTTTGGCCTCGTTGCTCGTATGAAAGAATCCACAAACTGAGATGCTCTTTGCTTCAAAGCTTCTCGGAGTTCCATGTCGTCATATGCTTGCTCAGCAAACCAGGCATCCAAGCGATCTTGCAACCTCTGCTTCAAAACCGGTAAAGATACCTCATGCTCGTAAATTGCGACGCATTGCTGCTGATGCTTGCAAACAAAATCAAAGCACTCTTCGGCATGTTTTCTCCTCATGCGTGCCCAATCCTCTGCAACATTGTAAGGTACACCCATCATACCCTGATCTGCAGAAATAGGTTGGGCTTTTGCTAGGTACAGCTTTGTCCACTGCCACCTGAAGTCAGCCTCAGATTGCAAATGATTGTGAAAACGACCGTCCTCCTTCAGTTTCAAATACTTCTCAAGCAACTTTTTCTGTGTTTCCCATGCTTCAAAAACATGCTTGGCTTCCTTCTCAAACTCTTCAAAGAGTTTTTGCAAAGCTGGATCTACTCCTTCGAGCAACTTGGTGTGAGTTTGAAACAGCTTGCTTTGCGAAGCTTCTTTGGCGCTAACTGCTTCAAAGTGAGCCTGCGATCTCTGCACTTGAGACTGGAGAGCGGCAAGCTGTTGCATGAGTAGCTGATTTTGCTCCAACAGAAGCATTTCAACTCCGCTGTGAGATCCATTTAGACCGTGAGGCCTTTCTGTGCCTGCAGCTGTGAACCGACTAGGGGCAGGAGTTCTGGAAGATTCTCTACCTCTAGAAACAGGAGCACGAAGGTCATGCGTAAAGGCTGGATTCCCAGAGCCCATCATGGCAGAACTAGCACGTGCCACCCCAGCAGATGCTAGCAACCCATGGCTCAAAGGATCACACATGGCGAGCGCCTAAAAGTCTGCACAGCACAACTTCGGAACAGGTCGCTCAAGCCAGGTCACAACGCAGCTTTTCTACAACTGCAAAAAAGTCAACTGCCTAGCTTTCGTCCCCCTAGGGACTCATCAGGGCTTTGCAGCCGTAAATGCTGCGGAACTCACGCACATGCCAAGGCATCGCATTCAATAACCTAGGCAAGTGCACTTGGAAGACGCTGGACAAGGAAATTTTTTTCCTTGTCCTTTTCCAAAAAAAAAAAAACCTTGTCAATATCCTCAGCATCATGTGGGCCAAAAGAGGCTATGGTCATCAGACAGAACCAACTAACTACGGCTATGAACAGAAACATACTGTGGATGGTTGCGAAATCCTGCACCAAAAAAAAAGGTGGTAAACATCCCATTATTTTGTTGGGGTTTCAACCATCCATGCCGTATCACCCACTTTCTGGGGATGCTTGGCGCTGAGTCATCAGGTTACAATCCGCAGCAGGAAAGAAATACGAAACGACCATGTCAGAATATCCAACAGCAGGAAAGAAAAAACAATAGCAAAAATCGAGATATTGATACGGTTTTCTCCAAGTTTGGGACCATTAAACAAAATGCCTGGGGTACATCACGTGTTTAATACTTTTTTGGGTTGGTTAACCATCATTTAATCCCTGAAAGATGATAGTTCATAGCCCCAAAAGGGGGAAATAGTGCTGGGTCAAAAACCCCGGTACCCTTCTGTGAATAATTGGTAAACTTTCTGGGAATATTCATGTTTATCCCGAATATAGTATCATAGGTTTTAAGCCATCCGCATATGAATATCCAACAAAATTGATATCAATTCCCATCCCTAACTGGTTGGTGGTATACCTACCCCTCTGAAAAATATGAGAGTTCGTCAGTTGGGATGATTTTCCATTCCCAACTGTTTCTGGAAAGTCATTCAAAATTCCAGAAATTCCAGTCGGTTCCAGTCACCAATCAGATATTTATATCTCTATACCCATCTACCCATCAGCTTGTGGATTGATTCATCCATGGGATGCCCAAGAAATGACTCGCCTGATGTGGCTGCGCGCTTGTTGTTCACCCAGCTCCTTGATGACCTGGGAATCTAAGCAGCGGACGAAAAACCACAAAAATCGCTGGGGCCTTTGTAAAAATGGGCTTTTCCATGGGGAGTACCCCAAAAATGCTGGATGGTTGATAATTGACCCATCTATAAATGGAACCATGGGGTACCCCCATGACTTAGGAAACCCTTGGTGTACCACAAGGCTGGTAATCATGGTCAGGTTCTGCTTAGAAACGGGATGTCAAAAATTGTTGTCTCTGTCACCGCTTTGGTTCGCGAAGCTTCCAATTCTTGTAGCCAGAGGTTCCCCAAAAGAGAGTCCATTGCAGCTTTGTGTAGCATTTAAAAAGGATCAGCAAACCAGGTTACCTGGTTTGCTTCTACCATCGTTGTGATGTTCGGCTACATCCACAGGTCTCGCAGCTTGATCCAAGGGCTTTGGCTTTTCTTTGCCCCAGCTTTAATTTGGTGCAAATCCGCATGGCAAAAAATACCCGACATGGTAAACATACAAAAAACGGATGGGAAAATCACCATGTTCAATTGGCCAATCCACTATAAATCACCATGTTCAATATCTGTCTATTTTGACATAACCAGAGGGTAATGCTGATAAGCTTGGTCCATCATGTTATGAAACAATAGAGACTTCGCCAAGGTCCCCTTTTGCTGACTCACCCCGCCACCAAGAGGCAAGAGCTAGAGCTGAAAGGGATTGATTGATGGCACATCCTGGCAATGCCCAAGTCGGCGTCATGATGATATAGTGAGTGGTTCTACCAACCAGAGCCGGGGTTACAACATATGGGTCTGTGCAAGAATTGGGGATGTTTCATAATTTGTCCATATGCAATATATCAAAACATCCAACCAGATGAAATAACGGTAAGAAATTTGTTTTACTACTGTGGATGGTTGCGAAATCCTGCACCAGTTGATAGGTGGTAAACATCCCATTATTTTGTTGGGGTTTCAACCATCCCAAATTGGTGGTGCAGGATTTCTTAACCACCCGTGACTTAGTGTTGGTCAATGGCATCCGATTTTCAGAGAAGCCCAGTTTTCAGAGTTTGATGCTTCCTAAACCATGGGTTCAAGGCACCGTCGACTCAACGAACTAATTACCCTCTGGTAAACTAACATAATTTTTAATGGGTAAATCAACTATAAATGGCCATTTTCAATAGCTATGTTAGTTTACCAGAGGGTAATGATATTACCATATTGGTTCTAAGGCAGTTTTTTCAATGTCACTGAATGTCACTATGGTTTGTTGCCTAATATCATAATTGCATAAACTAAAACCATTCTTGATCTGAGGCAATCCACAAGCTGTTGTGAGGTTGCAGACATACCATTTGGTTCTCAGATCACCATCAATCGGGCCCTGTCATGTGCCTTCTTTGAAGGTGGCTCCATGTACAAAGGCCGCTTTGTGCCGTTCGGAGCCTGTTGAACAAGCTGCAACGGTTCCACGCCTTTCATGAAATGGTCAAGAAATGCGACATCATCATCGTCATCATCACCATCACCATCATCATCACCAACATAATGATAATACAATATAATGTGTTCATATATGTTCCGTCATCATCACCACTACTAGATACTAGCATGTACTGTTGATGAATATGAATAAAGTGACCCTCATCATGACACCCTGTGGCTTGATTCTGGTTTGTGAGTGGTTGGTGACCAGTTTTGGTGCCCCCCTTTTTGCCCCCGTCTTTCACGCCTAGGCCGCCTGCCTACCCATACGGATATGGGTCAAAACGATTCAATACCAGATGAATCGTGCTAGAAGATCCATTCGCCCACAATGTTTGGTATGTTGAATTGAAAGCTAGCCAGGCTGTTGATCCATAGCCATATCATTCATGAAACTTCTAGCTGGTTAATATCATATATATATATTATACATATAATTATATATATATATGCATGTATATCTGGTTGGTGGTTTCAACCCCTCTGAAAAATATGAAAGTCAGTTGGGATGATTATTCCCAATCTATGAAAAGTCATAAAATTCATGTTCCAAACCACCAACCAGATATATATATATATATGTGTATGATGGAAACATGGTATATGGATTATGGTCGCCAAAAATGCCATGGGAATCCCAACGGAATGGGAATCCATCACAAGTAATGGATTGATCCGTTCAACTCTCCAAGGAATTTTCTTTGGAATGGGATTTAAACCACCAAAAATATGGGATTTTCATGGGATATTCATGGAATATCTATGGGATATGATGGGATATTCAGAAGGAATATCTCATTGGGAATATGTACTTCAATCCGCCTAATTAATTCTTGCTCAAAAATCCATTTAAAAAAAAAAAAAACAAGTTGAATCCACATTTTTCTGGTTTAAAATCACCATGTCTGTCCGATAAAAACCCTATTGAAAATGGCCATTTATAGGGAGTTTTCCCATTAAACATGGTGATTTCCCATTAAACATGGTGATTTCCCATTAAACATGGTGATTTCCCATTAAACATGGTGATTTCCCATTAAATATTAGCTATGTTAGTTTACCAGGCCGGGTACCCACCTATTCCCCGCGCCACGTCACCACGGGAAACCACGTCACCACGGCTTCGCCTGCCAAATCCACCAGGTTCATCCGCGCGTTCGTGGAGTCCGAACGCTCGCATCCACCAGCCAAGCGCTGTACCTGGATCGATTTAACAAATCATGGGGGTATTAACGATGTTTCATGATGTCTATAAATTTTTGGGGTCGGAAAAATTGACCAGATGGTGATAGCCAATGTTCATATTATTCCAGTATATATCATATTCCAGATGGTCGTTATAATTTACCCAGATGGTATTAATCAATGATGTTTAACGATGTTTCATGATGTCTATAAATTTTTGGGGTCGGAAAAATTGACCAGATGGTGATAACCAATGTTCATATTATTCCAGTATATATTATATTCCAGATGGTCGTTATAATTTACCCAGATGGTATTAATCAATGATGTTTAACGATGTTTAATGATGTCTATAAATTTTTGGGGTCGGAAAAATTGACCAGATGGTGATAGCCAATTTTCATATTATTCCAGTATATATTATATTCCAGATGGTCGTTATAATTTACCCAGATGGTATTAATCAATGATGTTTAACGATGTTTCATGATGTCTATAAATTTTTGGGGTCGGAAAAATTGACCAGATGGTGATAGCCAATGTTCATATTATTCCAGTATATATTATATTCCAGATGGTCGTTATAATTTACCCAGATGGTATTAATCAATGATGTTTAACGATGTTTCATGATGTCTATAAATTTTTGGGGTCGGAAAAATTGACCAGATGGTGATAGCCAATGTTCATATTATTCCAGTATATATTATATTCCAGATGGTCGTTATAATTTACCCAGATGGTATTGATCAATGATGTTTAACGATGTTTCATGATGTCTATAAATTTTTGGGGTCGGAAAAATTGACCAGATGGTGATAGCCAATGTTCATATTATTCCAGTATATATTATATTCCAGATGGTCGTTATAATTTACCCAGATGGTATTAATTAATGATGTTTAACGATGTTTAATGATGTCTATAATATTAGGGTCGGAAAAATTAACCAGATGGTGATAGCCAATTTTCATATTCTTCTAGTATATAAACTATATTCCAATATTGTATCCCATAAATATATCTGGGCAAATTTCTATAATATTTCACTACCCTGAATTAAGGCCATTTGGGGATGATTTCCCTTACTAACCATGATTCCAGTGAGGTCGCAGTGAGGTCGTTATAATTTACCCAGATTAAAGATGTTAATGATGTTTAATGATGTCTATAATATGGGTCGTTTATTGATGATTAATGATGTTTAAAGTGTCATTTAGGGTTTATAAGCTGGTTTAATGATGTTTAATGATGTTGAATGATGTTTATTGATGTTTAATGATTTTTAACTGATGTTTAATGTGTCTTACTATGGCTTGATATCGTTATATGTTGATATGGCTGTATTTTGATCAGGTTTAATTTAGCTTACTGGTTTCATTGAGTTTGATATGGTTATGCCCATAATACACTCCGGAAACACAAACCTGGCTAGCTGGGAAATCTCTACAAATGGAAATTTAAAGTGGAAAATCATCGAACGATATAACAGGTGGGTTTCCCAGCTAGCAGCCAGCTAGCAATGTTTGATTACGGGAGGACGTAAACTTCAAATTTGGCAGGACATGATGTGTATCCCCACCGAGAAACACGGAAAAAAGAAAGTCAGTTCTTCACCAGAACATCATATCTGCCCATTCATCATATTCCGTCAGTTATCTAGCTAGAAGTGTTTATCTTTGGAAGATAAATGCTATGGCAATCAACCCACTTCCTACACCCACCATGCAAGTCTTCAAAACCCTCTGTCATTCCATCGTACTGGTTGGATCTGGTTGAGATTCCCAGCTAAATTCTGATTCTCCTCATTCATATTCGGTGGTATAATCCCCAAGAATCTCATCATCAAGTATATTCCCATAATGTTTGACGCTTCACAGCCTATAAATTCATGCGTTTCCCCAACTTTCCGAAAAACCGACTGCCACTTCCGCCACTTCCACTTCGCGGACCTTGAGGATGAAGACCGCATGGCTACGGGAGGACGTATTGTTCATGATGGTGGCCGAGGTTACCTGATCAACCCCCATCGCTTTGTAAAATCTTCGGCAAAATCCCCATGAAAGGCATGGGTTTAGGGTCGTTCATAGTCACCAAGTCACCAACTGCAGAACATTTCGCAACCATGAAATCAGTATCACGAGTTACCCTCTAGTAAACTAACATAGCTGTTGAAAATGGCCATTTATAGTGGATTTATCCATTAAAAATGGTGATTTTCCATAGTTATGTTAGTTTACCAGAGGGTAGTTTAGTGGGAATTTACCAATGGGATGAGGAAACAATGAATTGAAAATGATCGATAGGTAAACATCGGGTAAGTAATCGGCAAATCATCAAAGCCAACATGGATTGTAACCCATTTGTGTAGGTTTACAACACTAACTCCAATTTTTGCGTAAAAATTGGTGATTTAGTAGCAGCTGATTGTTGGCTGTACCACAAAAAGTATATATCCCATGAAGAATCCATTTCAGGCAAGCGCCATGACTGCCATGACATTCTCAGGAGTTCGGGGTACCCTCTGGTAATTTAACATAGCTATGGAAAAACCATTATAAATGGAGGTGTTTTTGGGAAAATCATCTGTAAATGGTCCATTTTCCATAGCTATGTTAGTTTACCAGAGGGTAATATTGGAGATGCTGGGAGAACTCCCTGGAGCTTACTGGATGCAGATGCTGGATACGACCTCTCCAAACGACTCTCTATCTGAACGGCCGATTTATTACAGGTGTTACTTACGCCCAAAGAGTGATATCAAAATGGATGCCCCATCAGCTCTGAAATTGTGCAGGAGGAGTCCTGTGTGCGGTTCTAGCCACCCTTGACCATGTCCGGGACATCACAAAAATGATGACATAGGTCATTAATTCTGAAAAAAAACACTACAGCGATTGGGATGGAAAACTAGCAGCTGGCCGTGCTGAAACATGAAGTTTCCAACCATTGTCTGCACCGATGCTCAAAGTCTCATGTGGGTATTTCCACGATTTCCCTCCGATTTTGAGATCTTTAGGCTTCGGAATTGCCCCAGCTTTCATTAAACCAGTCGGATCAGCTTGCTCGCCAGCACCAAGTCACTCGTTTCTTCAGACCAAATCTGATGAGTTTCTTCACCTGCGCAACCCAGAAGCATGTGGCATGCGCGCTATCCACAACTTCTTATATATCTTTTATGTATTTGTCGAAAAAAGAAAAAAAACATATGGCAGTGTGTCAAAACCTTGTACCCCTGGTGAACATCAAAATAGCTGGGATTTATGGATGTTCATCCCCCTAAAAATGGTATGTATAGGTATTGATTCATAGCCATATCTTCTTGGTGACAAAGAATCGCATAGAACTTGGGGGTTGCCCAACATTGATCCAGGTCTGGTCACCGTGGGTAAAATTTAAACCCATTGAATTGAACTTGGAAGTACCCTCTGGTAATTTAACATAGCTATTGAAAATCACCATTTATAGTGGTTTTCCCATTGAAAATGGTGATTTCCCATAGTTATGTTAGTTTACCAGAGGGTAAAACATAAACTATGTCCATGCTCCTTTTTTTCCTTTCTTTTCCTGTGCCCAACATTGAATACTTGGGTGCTTGATAAATCCATGTTCGCTTAAAAATGTCGCTTATTCAAATCTCCCAGCTTTCCAAAACGCCAAACATTGATTGGTGAAATCATATCCCTAATCATCATCATTAATCATAGTATTGGTTATATGTGTACCCTCTGGTAAACATACAAACAGCTGTCGTGAAAATGGCCCAGTCGAAATGTCTTTTTTATTTACCCAGCTATTAGCTATGGCAGCTATGGTTATTTTAACCATAGTTATGTAAACGTAAACGTTTACCAGAGGATAGTTTCCAGTGATTTTCCATGGGAAATCCCTAAAAATGGAGGTGTATATATATATATGACTCATACACCACTAATCAATATCCCTACAGCAGTTTCGCTGATTCTCCCAGTGGTAGCTCCAACCTCGCTATTGGAGAATCATCCCACGCATCGGTTACGCGCGTTTAGAGAAGCAGTTCGTATACCAGAGATATAGTTGTTACCCTCTGGTAAACTAACATAGCTATTGAAAATGGTCATTTATAGTGGATTTACCCATTGAAAATGGTGATGTTCCATAGCTATGTTAAATTACCAGAGGGTATATGTTGTTATGATCTATTTAGGAGTATAGAACTCTAGTTACAGTTAGACAAAAATCTGGTTGGTGGTATACCTCTACCTCTCTGAAAAATCATGGAGTGAGTTCGTCAGTTGGGATGGATGGAAATTCCCAATATATGGAAAGTCATAAAAAATGCTCCAAACCACCAACCAATTATAGTTACTATAGTTATTTTTTGATGCATTTTTCAAAGGAGAATCAGCCCACGACTCGTCACTTACCACCCCTCAACTCATGAGATGCCGTGGGATGACGTCCGGCCTCCATCACGGACTGACACGCCGCTTCGACCAAGCCCGGAATGATCACCCCCAGCGCAGGGTGGTCCATGATCCTGGCGACGCTGAGGTTTTCAGTACCGGACCAGGGTGACGCCTAGGGTGACTTTCATTGGTCAGATATGATTTCGAAAAAAAAAAGTAAAACGATCATCTGATGTTCAACTATCATGATCATGATGCTTGTGACTTTTAGTAGGGTATGATTAAAAAAACAAAAACTATCATACGCAAAGCGAGTCCTAATCATGATTGTTCATAGGGCATAAGATGAGTGCACAAAAAATCTGGGTATCTCACTATGCTGAGAACCTGGTCGCTCATGCATAACCAAGGCTGTTTAGTTGGCCACAGAGGTTATATCCCAAGTTATGATGGTGGCAGCCCTGGTTTTTCTCATTTCCCGCAACTGCACCAGCAGGTAGTGGGAGATTAAAAGCGAGAAAATCTCTTCGAGATTTTGGCCCGAAAGATTTTTGTGTGCGATCAATGCGATCAGTGCGATCAGCAACAATGAGGTAAGTAACCCTAACATCAAAAAATATACTATAATCAATGGCCATTCCAGGATCCTAAATTGGAGGTACCTACCATATATAAGGCCTATATAAGGCCTATGTAAGGGGATATCCCCAGAAAATATGGCCTTATATGGTACAGTACCTCCATCTGTTGGATCCTGAAATCCCCATTGATATAAATATCATCATTATTTTAGTACAATGAAAACCTGTTCCATCTTTGGGGGGGTTGCTGTACAATGCTATACATCAAAAAATGTCAGTTGTGCCATGGTTCCGAAGATGGTTCCGATGTGGTATGGTCATTTCACCATCATTGGGGATTAGGGATTCCCTACTCAAAAATCGACCCCGTGGACCATTAAATGGGGGCAATGGCTTTTTCATGCAGTCCGGAAAAAACCAAGGGTTTTCATCGTTGTACCAAGGTTTTCCATGGTTTTCATAAGGATTCACCAGCCTTGAATCCTGAAACCCCTGCAAAATCAGCTTTATGCCCCCTGACAGACCCTAAACAGTTGAGCAAGACATGATGGGAGACAAATGAAGAGAGACATTTGAAGAGCCGGACACCACTAGCAACACTAGGCCGGAGCCCGGCCTAATGTGTTTCGGGAACCGGGGCTTGAATCCCAACCTTCCCAACCCAAGGCTGCTGTGAATGATGATACCCTCTGGTTATTTAACATAGCCATGGAAAATGACCCATTTATAGATGATGTACCTATTAAAAGTGATTATTTTCCATGGCTATGTTAAATAACCAAAGGGTACCTGTACTTGAAGGTCAACTGAAAAATGAGTTCATCAGAAATCATCTTTCCGCCACAGCGATTATTTCAAAAGTTCTCCCTAACAACTTGACCGCCGTTGATGACAGACAGCAGCTGGTTTTCTTCTCCAAGACACAAACCATGGGGTGTTGGGTACCCCTAAATCAATTCATGAATATTCATCCATCACTAATTTGTCTATTATTCTATTGAAATGGCCAGTTGAAAAAAAAACACTTTCAGATTTTTCAGACACACTCTGGCTGCGGTTCACTCTCCAAACCCGCCCGGCCCGAAGGCCCGGTGGGGCCTTAAGCTGCTTTGCGTCTCTTGTCGCAAGCCGCTGGGTTCCAACAGATCTCTGAGCCTCGCTGGGGTCACCCCACCAAAGTTGAACTGTCTATGATCTACCCGAACAAGGTAGGGAATCCCAGTAACGTGGGTAAAACATGGTAAAACTCTATGATTTTTGCAACTTATATATGCGGGATATACCCCTGACATCCCCTGACCACTTACTGGTTGGGATGTACTCCCAAGTAGCTGAACAAGGGACGGAAATTGATGATGCCATTTGAAGGTAGGGATCTCATCCTCGTTTTTCGGGAATTTCTTCGGAATTTCTTGGATGCTGTCTGAGGTTGGTGAGGCCATTTTCCCAATTAAAAAGATGGTGTTCGGAAGAAAACCATAGATCATTCATATTAAACTCTTCCCATTCTGACCATTTCTGACCCCCCAAAAAAGTTGAGCGTTCCCCCAAAAAAAATACTGTTTTTAGTCAGCATTTTTGCAGACCATCCTCATCATCCCCATCCCCAGCGAGACACTGTTCGTTGTAGATCTCTACAAAGGAGGCCCAGACGCGAAGCTCATCGCCCTGCAGATGGCTCTTCTGCGAGAAGAGGTCCTGCGGCCAGCGGGAGGCTAGGACCCCAAGTGCGATGGCTTTGAAAAAAAAACAAAAAAAAGGATGAAAAACTGATTCAACTAACTTTTGAATGGGATTTTTGATAGTTCGCGAGTTCGCGGGTTCGTGATGGTTGGTTTTCATTGGGATTATGTTACCCTCTGGTAAACTAACATAACTATGGAAAATCCCCATTTTCAATGGGAAAATCAATCATGTTCAATGGGAAAATCAACTATAAATGACCATTTTCAATAGCTTTTTGTATGTTTATCAGATGGTAGATCTATAGTTGATGGGGGTTATAAACCGAGAAACACAACGGGGAGGGGCACCGGGCACCACCTTATGGGGATCAGGTGACAAAACGGGCTTCGTTCATGACCTGATAAGTCGCTGGTCGAAATAGTCTAAAACTCCTACTTGGTGCCTCATCCCAGTAAGTAAGCAAGTTATATCAGTTATATCCCTGGTAAGTGGGACAAGTAGGGTTAATCCACAAAGGTAACTAGGGTTATAACTAAGAACCTACTTACTAGGTGGGATGAGCTGCCAAGTAGGACAACAATGGTGGTTCCAGCACCGATCAACAATGGTGTTTGGAAGGTTAGGGATTACTATGTCCCCAAGCCACCTAAAAATCCAGCAGTATTTTAGAAAACTCAAATAAAAAAGGTATTCTGGATGGTTAATGGTTAATTAATGATGGTTAATGATGGTTAATGGTTAATACTACCTGAAATACTACAATGGTAAGATGAGGATTTACCCAAAGCCCAAAACTATTTGAAAAAGGTTTTAACATCTCCACCTAGAAACAAATTCTGCGGAGACCCAAAATAATCAGCACCATGTTCGGATCGGAATTAGAGTATCATTCCCTGGTCCATGCTTGGTTTACGTGAGCCACCCTATCTCAGAGGGCAATCTGGTTATTTATGCCACATTATATATATATATATAATGTCAACCCCGGATGAATAAACCATGGTTTATTAATTAGGGGGTACTCCTCCAATAGTCATAATCTGATGCTTAAATGGTACCCCCCCAATTAAACAGTCTAGGGGTTTATTAATCCAGGGTTGACATTATATACAACCTATATACCTATATAATTATACCACTACTGCGGCTGGGGGAATAATTCCTACTTTCAACTCTACAAAAACATGGCCTCTGTTGAATCCTGCTGGGATCACCCTAAAGTTTTTGCACTTCATGATCTTCCCAAGATTTTCCCAAGATTTTCCCATGATTTTCCGGGGATTTCCCTGAAAACCCATCGGGATTTCCCAGATTTCCCGCCTCGACAGAGCGAGGGATCACCCCAGGTTGATCGCCGTAGCCCATCCTGGGGCTCCGCAGATCCGTTTTCGGAAAATCACCGGGATCTGCCATGAGGAATGGTCCATTGGTGAATTAATGGTGGTTATATGATGGGTTAATGATGGGTTAATGATGGGTTAATGATGGGTTAATGATGGGTTAATGATGGGTTAATGATGGGTTAATAGTGCTGAATGCGAAAAAAGTGGTGAAGAGTGGTGATAGTTCATAGTGGTGAATGCTGATTAATGATGGTTAATGATGGGTTAATAGTGGTTTGGTTAATTCAATGGAATGATTTTAGGGAAACTTTATGGTTAGTGGTGAATGCTGATTAATGATGGTTAATGATGGTTACCCTCTGGTTGTTTAACAGAGCTATGGAAGCCATGGCCTATAAAAATAGATGATAAACATATATAAACATGATCTTTTTTAACCTATGAAAAATATGGTGGTTTTCCATAGTTATGTTAGTTTACTGGAGGGCACATTTTTGGGAAATGTTGGAATGACAAAGTTGTTGGATGAATGTTAGAATTCCACATTTGATCCATTCAAATTTCCGGGAATGTTTAAACGGAATGTTGGAATGACAAAGTTGAAATGTTGGCGAACTATCAGCGATGGATGAGACAAACTTGGAATGTCAGAATCTTTGGTTTCTCCGGGAATGTTAGAATGACAAAGTGATCCTGTTATTTTTGACTTGGTTATCATATGTTCATTACCCACTTTCGATTCCTTTGGAATGAGCCAAAAAAAACAGGGTGAACTAAGTCAACTAAGTCGTTCCCAAATGAGATCATGAATCACAAAGTTATATAACATGTTGGTGGATGCTGAGACGAATGTCGGAATCTACAGCAGTTTCAAGGCTGGTGAGTTGAAAACCTCACGACCAAAGCGGATCATGTCTATGAATCTCGGAAAAATATGGAATCTCTTAGTGTTTCCCGTAGCTAACTTTAATCATCTCTTTTTGATGTTGGGATTCCATCAATTTATGAATATCTCTCTATATTTATAATGTGGGTAAAACAATTGGTAAACAATATTTTCAGTGAAGTTTCGAAGCATTTTTTCCCACTGCGTTTTGTGTAAAAAGCGCCGGGTTTCGCCAGCCAATTGCAAAGACAACAACTTTTCGGCCCCCTATGGCATGATAAAATCATGGAGATCGTGGTGCTATGGAATTTGCATCGTGGTAGCTTTATGGCTTTAGGGTTTATGTATGTTTCATTGATTGGTTTACGGGAATATATACAGGAAACCATGGTTTTTACCATGAAATATGGGGGGTTCCGGTTTTAAATTCCCTTAAACAAATCCAATGAATGTTTACGTACCGCATGAAAAAACTAGAAAAAATAGCATGTGGCACCTCAAACTGACGCCAGCTTCATTGAAGTTCACTCTGAAACCACGGAATCGCGATCTGAAACCCCCTAGGTTGCTGACAAAATCTACGCATATTTTTCAGGACCAAAGAGCTTCAAAAAGGGACTTGGTTGAAGCATTTATGATCCATGGTTAGAGGTAACGGACACGGCCTAAGACCTCTTGGTCTTGGTGACATGTTCAATGGGATTTGCATCACTGGGAGCGTCAGGGATTATTTTTTCCTCGTTCAAATCATATTTATCCGGAAATCGCAGCAATTCATAACCAGTTATAAATGGATTATAAATGGATTATAAATGGATTATAATCCCATTAACTCGTTCGATATATCCCGTATACACCATACCCTCTGGTAAACTAACATAACTATGGAAAATCACCATTTTTAATGGGAAAACTCACTATAAATGGCCATTTTCAATAGCAAACTGTTAGTTTACCAGAGGGTAATTAAAAGACAACGATTGATGGTTTCCCACCGAGCCCAGCCATGGCACGGGGATCATCCCATTTTCTGAGATGTTCCGAATACTTTCAGAGAAAAATTGGAGGTACCTACCATTAATATAAGGCCTATGTATATAAGGCCTAAATTTCAGGGAATATCCCCAGAAAATATGGCCAGAAATGTGGTACTAACGTACTGTTCCCCTTCAATTTATGGGGTGCCCCCCATTGTTGATGCCGTCCTTTTGGCGTAAAAAAAACCAGGCGTCATGGTGTGGCTCTTGCCCGCACCCGTTTGGCCGTAGGCGAAGAGACAACAGTTGTAGCCTTCCAAGACGTTGTTCACCATGTCAGCACCTGGCGATGAGCACTGCTCCTCAACTGTAGACATAGGAAGTTTGTGACTAGGTTGACTGGTTGGTTTGCGCATGCCTACGGTGGACATGTATTTATATATATATATATATGTATATATGTGTATGTGTGCGTATGTGTATATATATACATATATATATATACATATATATATACATATATATATATACATATATATATGTGTGTGTATGTGTGTATATGTATATGTATATGTATATGTAGATGTAGATGTATATGTATGTCTGTATGTCTGTATGTCTGTCTGTATGTCTGTGTGTGTATGTGTGTGTGTCTGTGTATGTCTCTGTGTATGTCTCTGTGTATGTCTCTGTGTATGTCTCTGTGTATGTCTCTGTGTATGTCTCTGTGTATGTCTCTGTGTATGTCTCTGTGTATGTCTCTGTGTATGTCTCTGTGTATGTCTCTGTGTATGTCTGTGTGTATGTCTGTGTGTATGTCTGTGTGTATGTCTGCGTGTATGTCTGTCTGTGTGTATGTCTGTGTGTATGTCTGTGTGTATGTCTGTGTGTATGTCTGTGTGTATGTCTGTGTGTATGTCTGTGTGTATGTCTGTGTGTATGTCTGTGTGTATGTCTGTGTGTATGTATGTGTGTATGTCTGTGTGTATGTCTGTGTGTATGTCTGTGTGTATGTCTGTGTGTATGTCTGTGTGTATGTCTGTGTGTATGTCTGTGTGTATGTCGGTGTTTATGTCTGTATGTATGTCTGTATGTATGTCTGTGTATGTATGCATGCATGCATGCATGGATGTATGTCTGTCTGTCTGTCTCTCTGTCACTCTGTCTGTCTACGTATGTATGTATGTATGTATGTATGTCTGTGTATGTCTGTGTATGTCTGTGTATGTCTGTGTATGTCTGTGTATGTCTGTGTATGTCTGTGTATGTCTGTGTATGTCTGTGTATGTCTGTGTATGTCTGTGTATGTCTGTGTATGTCTGTGTATGTCTGTGTATGTCTGTGTATAATGTACTGTATGTCTGTGTATGTCTGTGTATGTCTGTGTATGTCTGTGTATGTCTGTGTATGTCTGTGTATGTCTGTGTATGTCTGTGTATGTCTGTGTATGTCTGTGTATGTATCTATGTATGTATCTATGTATGTACCTATGTATGTACCTATGTATGTATGTCTGTATGTATGTATGTATGTATGTATCTATGTATGTATGTATGTATGTCTGTATGTATGCATGTATGTATGTATGCATGCATGTATATATATATATATACACAATGTGTGTATACAAATGCAGTATATGTGTCTAGATGTATGTAACAATGTATTACAGTTTGTTAGATGAAAACAAGTCGACCTCTAAGGGGGGCAGATTTAAGGAAGCTTTCCCAGTCTTGCCGGATGTCTGTCCTTGAAGTGTTCTCCTAAAAACCAAACCTCTGAATTCCGGAAAAGGCGAGATCCACCCCCCAATTAGATCCAATCAGGAGATTGTTCCGAGTTGTTTCAAAAAGACATCGAGGTGACTTCATCCCTCTCTGCCTGTTGGAAAACCGATCATAGTCCCATGTTTGCTGGGTAAAACCACCATGTTTACCCGTTAAACTCATC